GCTATTGGGTTGGAGGCCATACGCTATAAGGTTGGAGGCCATACGCTATTAGGTTGGAGGCCATCGCTACTGAGGTTAGAGGCCATACACCATTAGGTTGGAGGCCATTGCTACTAAGGTGGAGGCCATCGCTACTAGGTTTGTCAAGAATCTCAACTCCCGGCCACTCCAACGATGCGGGCGCCTCCAACTGGAAGGAGTGCCATGATCTACCCAGCAAAGTCCGGGACACCTGGACCACCTCGACTGCCACGGAAAGGAAGAATCGTGATTGATGGATCTGGAGTAACAAGGTGCATCGCTACTAGTAGCAGGAAGCTACTAGTAACAAGGGTATCGCAACTGGTAACAAGGTTTGGTCTGAGATGCCTGGTCCGGGACACAATGAAAGATTGCGCTGAGAGCCAGCCAAAAGAGTGAGGAGGCTATCCTCAGCTTTCTCATAGATAATCATCTCACTCGGATCCTTTGAGCTGTTTTCATGCCAAGGCTCATCACAGCGCTATCATTTGCCAAGAACCTCCGCAATTCTCCCACTCTTCTCGCATTATCAGTCCTCGGCTCTGGCATGCGGCTGTGAGAGCCCAAACAGCACATCTTTGGGCCAAGGCACCGCTGGGGCGAGGCATCACCCGCCTGTGTCGGAAGCGAAACACCGTGTCTCGCATGTAGCATCATGTAGCGGTAGCGGTAGCACAACGGTGTAGACCACGTGAATGAAACGAGGTTAAAAGAGGATTTCTTTTGTGTAACATCGTCGTCCACATGAGTCCAGAATACTCAAGTCCAAAACGGAATTCGGACTGGGAGGCCTTCTTTAAGGGCCAGCAGATGAGGCTTTTTGCATCGGTTTCCGGGCCGCCGTGGCTCGCCTTCTTCGAATCACCGGGACCTCCACGCAAACCCAGCGTGGCATCTTCGAGGTATTTCGGCACTTCCTGGGACCAGCGTCACAACCGCGGTGCAGCTCTTTGATCTTCGACGTCACCCCCGGTTTGAACCGAAGCACCCAGCACCCACCCAGCCAAGCTGCTCGAGAGATGATATCACCGCCCTGACAGGGTGGTAAATAGAATCTGGGCAACAACAACTTTGATGGTGCCACGCTGCCACACACTGTCAAACAATGTCTCTTGACTCTTGGCCCCAATCCACTCCTCCGACGATGGCTCCACCATACTGGCCTGTCACTTGTCACACAGTTCGCCGTGCTGCAGAAAGGAACCCTTGCGGTTCACCTGATGGCCCAAATCAACCCACGCCTGGAACTCCCAAACACTGCTCACGCCACTCCAGCTTCTCTCTTCACCCTTCGGTTCTTTCTTCTTGTCCTTTGCAACTCCGCAACTTCCCGCAGTATTCGCATAACACGGACTCTTTTTTATGGCAGTGTTGGAACTCACCTGCAAGATCTAGACGACTCGATAAACTTACATGAGTTCACCACTTGCACCCGTTTTACCGTTCTGGGCAGCGGCAAGGAAAATTTGATTTGTCAAGTCGCTTTGTCTCCATCCCCATCCTTGGTCTGCAAGGCACAGTGGCGACTCGATTTCGCGCACAAACCCCCACCTACTCGAACCAACCAATTAAGTAGAGTCCAGACTCAAGAAAGGAAACGCATCGAAGCACGCCCTGAAAGGGTACCCGGGTATCCTGTGGGCGCCCTATTCGGGGCACCCACCACAGACTGCACTGAAGATTTGATCCTCCTCGATTGAACCCCCAAGATATCCAACAATGGTGAAATCCGATCAAGGCTGCTGCCAAGCAACCTTCTCCGCCATGGTGTATTGGAAGAATCTTGATGCTAAGAACGGCTGCCAGCTTAGGTGTTTCAAGAGAGTTTCTTGCCCCAAGCATCCCCAAACTAACTCCCTGGTCAAGGATTCATGTGTGGATTAATCTGGCTGAGCGTGAGTCGTCAAGGAAGCACAGGCACGCCAAGATTGTTTCACAAAAGACGGGTGAAATTCATTGTCTGAGATACCTGCCATCCAACCTATGGAGGATGTTGGAGGAGCCTGGCTGTGTGCTCGCAACAAGAGTGGGCACAAAGCTTTCAGGATCGTCCAGGACATGCACCCCAAACCTGCTCCCCTAACATGAAGCTTGTGATGGGCAATTCTCCAGGCAAGATGGTGTCTTGGCGCACTTCCATGTTCCCACAGTACAATCTAATGGTTCCAGCGTCGACACCAAACAGGAAAAAGAAGCCGCGGAAGAAAATCAACCTTGAAACGATGGCCTCCAACCTACGTGCGATGGCCTCCACCTAATAGCGTCCCTGTTACAGCTTGAAAACGCTCCAAACAGTTGTGAAGCCATGTCCAAGGCTTTTTGAAGCCCGTGACGCCGTGACGCCGCACATGAGGAGACCGCAACCCAAACTCCTTCAAAAGGAGCAAATTAAGAACCCCTCACCAACAAACCTGCTTGGGAGAAAAACATTTGCACCTACTCCCGGGCTCAACACCAGTGCTAAACATTCAAAAACATGGTGCCCGGACAATGGAGCCAGGTGCGCCGTCAAACTCTCGCAGCCATTGCAGGCCGCAGCTCTGAAAGCGACAGACCTGGTCATAGACCACCCTGCACCCCTGTTCGATTCATGAAGTGAGCAAAATGTCAAAACATGATTTTAAAAGGATGCCCGTCAGGTTAAATACCTCAGGCATCTCCACATGAAGCTTTGCTTGGCAACCGAGCTACTGATTGCCCGCAAGGCCCAGAAGAATCAACAATGGCAGTGCCAAGAGATGGGTCCAGGCCTGTGCAAAACGGAGTTCACATCAGGACGGATGTTCACAGGAATCGGAACTTGAAGTAGCAGAGATTGTAAGGGGATTGAAGTAGCAGATGTAATCAAATAGGAACAGATCGAATAGTTCCAGTAGGTCTGATCAATCTGCAGGGAGATAACAGAGACAAGGTGGGACTAAACACGTGCCCCAAACGAGCCTAAGTCTAAGTCTAGAAAACAAGTTGGGCAGGCGTAGCAGCGCGAGCTGGCATGACCAGATCAAAAACCATGACAAGCCCGTGTGGGTGCTCCTGAGCTCACTACCATAATTTGCATAGCAGAGAGGCCGCTTCCAACGATGAGGCGCCGCCTCGTCACCATCCACACAAATCCACGAGGGCCATTGGAGACTCCAATGACTTCGGCTATCTCATCTCTTTTCTTCTCCTAGTAGCAAGAAGCTCCTAGGTTGGAGGCCTTGACTATTAGTAAATTATTAGTAGCTAGAAGCACCTCAGGACCACCATCGAAGAGGACGAGAGAGAGTTGACCTGTGAGCCACAATCCCGGCAGCTAGCTATTGCAACTAGGCCAGTTCACAAACTTCAGCACTGAGGCTTTCGCAAGAAGAGCAAGATGGCCCCAGCCTTCGGATTGATCACAAACTGGGACATCACATTCTTTCCAATGATGGGAGGCCATCGCTAGTAGGAGTGGAGGCCATCGCTAGTAGGGTGGAGGCCATTGCTCTTAAATACTCCAACAAGCCCACCACTGGGTGCCAAGCCGGAACTCTGCATCTCCATGTAGTTCTCCCACATGCCAGGGTCTAAGAATACCTCAACGGTGTTCAAGACACCGTCCGATTCAAACGTGATGTGGTGGATGTGCTAAGAAGCCTGCAATGATACAAGCCCCTGCCATTCCCAAGGCCTTAAGTTGGAGTCATATTGCTACCAATCTGTGTGCTATCGCAAGAATGCAGTAGCTTCACGACTCGGCTAGGCTAAGCTTCCAGGCTACGCCCAGCATCTTCTGGAAGCTTGCGCTCTCTAAGCCTCACTGCACTTCACATGGCTTGAATACTTATTCAGACCGAATGAAGCGAAGCAAATCGCCAATCTGCCTCCCCCATATGCCATCCTGCTTTCCAGAAAGGTTTCTAAGTTTCTATTCATGTCACACGGTAGTCAGCCAGTGACATTCCAGTAGCTGTTATCGTTCACCCAGAATGCCATCTGACAGTCTCTCATTCTTACTGAAAAGCAAGTGGCCAAGAATCAGAGAGAAGAACCTCACTCCGAACCAGCAATGACGCGGGCTGCTGATAAAGTCAAATCTTCCAACCACGGGCATTTAGAAGACTGTAGTGCAAAAATGTGAAACGAATGAAAGAATGATCTGATCGATCGGCGGTTCTTTTCCTGCCTCTGAATCTCTCATTGCCATTCAAGCGCTTCTAGTATTAGGGGAGTGGGGTCCAGGTATGGTCCCTTCCGTTACCTTTTGCACGTTGCTACTTTCCCATCGATTTGGCTTCACCTGGCCCAACACCCAACAGGTCGAACATGGGAGCGGAGACGTCCAACAAACCACGAATCAAACAGCGCCAGAAATGCCGAGCTGGAGAAACCATTCGGCGATGCGAACCGATTTGACGACTCTGGATTTGGGGTGTGCCTGCCGCTCAGCCGCCAAGCGTGCTAAGGTCCAAAGTGTGGAAACATAATGAAACACACCTGAGAGACTGATAGAACTCCGCGGAACACAAACCTCCCGATGGAGTGTGAACTTACCGTCGGCAGGCACACCGCATGCAACTGGGTGTTGCATTGAGGGCAGTCCTCTTTAAGAACTCCATCGCAAAACCGGCATGGACTCGGACCCATCAGAAGACCTGCTTCATCATGCCTGACATCTCTACAAGCTGGTTGGATAAAGCCTGTTGCTGCGCCATGCTGCACCATGCTGCACTCAGCTACAAACAAGACTGCCCATGACTCCGCAAGAACCATGAGGAACCTCGGATAATCTCCTCATTCTTCTCAGCCTCACCGCTCTCCTGGTCGAAAACGTCCTTCCTGAGCGAAGGAAGAAGGGCTTCCGTTTCACAACAGCTCCGCGAGTGGCTCCGTGCTCTTCTCTCCACTTTGTTTGGATCAAAGGATGGCGCTTCAGCTTGAAGTAGACGTCATAAACTTTCTCCTCCTCATGTTCAAGGTGTTCGAGTTCGGTCTTGGCACCAAGAAGCTTGGTAGCCTAAACAGTGGGTACCGTTCCATGGTAAGCTACTTCTGCATGAACAGAGCTCATGCACGGTCGAGATGAAGTGCGGGGCGCCAACGAAACTGGAACAAACCCTCCCACCTGCGACACTTCCCAGAGTGCCTTGTTAGTAGTAGCGATGCCCTTGTTACTAGTAGCTTCTAGTTACTAGTAGTAATGGCCTCCAACCTACTATCGATGGCCTCCAACCTAATAGCAATGGACTCCAACCGAGTAGCTTCGAGCTACTAGTAGTAATGCCCTTGTTGCTACATGTAGGATGCAGGAGTTGCAAGAAATGATTAAGGAGTCCTCTCATGGCCGGAAACTCATGATTCACTTGAGCGGGGAAACACGAAAGGTAGAGACGGACCGAGTAGCTGTCGGGACCTTTTCTGGTGAGGGACTGTCTCCGGTGTTTCAGGAACGTGCCCCTTGGTCAATCATGGATGAAACCAACAAAGCCAGAGAGCACAAGAAGGCATAAGAAGGCTCAAGAGGAACTCCGTTGCGGTCAGATTGCGCCACACGGCTCTGCAGAGAGGCTGCGTTGGGTCGACGCTCGTTTGTGTCTAGGTGTGTGAAAACAGGCGCGCGTAAAAGTCGCAATGCGTAAACGCTCGCATGTGTACCAGCTATGGTCCCACAGCTGCACGCACTGTGTCAGGATTACAGGCCTGCACGCGTTGCATCGAAGCCACAGTGACTCAGTGACCAACCCCCTTGTAAGGATAGTGCTGGAGGGGTGCGGCCGGTACTGCCAGGGATGGACGTCACGCTATGGTGGGTGTGCTCCACGATGCGGTAAGATTTCGCCACGCTAGGGTATAAGGCTGAGTCGAATGGTGTTCCGCGACGCGAGGGGTTTCTCCACAGGGCTTTGCAAAGAGGCTGCGTTGCATCGATGCTCGTTGGTGTCGAGCAATATGGTCTGTGAACGCAGTACGCGCTGTGTCAGGCTGCCGGGTGCGCACGCGCGGCATCGAAGCTGCATTGCGCGACCTCATTGCGCAGGGTTCGTGCTGTATTGCGCAACCTCATGGCCAGCGTCGTACTGCTGTGACTGTTAAGCGCATGACTTCACCTTATGTCCAGAATTTAGTAGTGCTGGCGACGAGGGGAGGGGACGGGGAGGGGGGAGGGGGAGGGGGGGGGTCGAATCAATTGATTTATCAATCATTCATCACATGGGAGGGGGGGGGGGGGGGGGGGGGGTGGGGGTGTTAGACATTGATCTACCAATCTTTAGTCCCGAGCAAGCTCTCAAGCCAGCCCCTTTGCTTCGCAAAGCAAACTCAAGGTAGTCCTTACCAGGCTACCTTTCGTGACAACGAACCACTTTCTCTGGCGGCAAGTCCGTGCTCCTCCGGCTTTGCGTCATCGGTCACGACAAAGAAGGGCGCACGAGTCACCTGGCTGACCATTGAGCCATGTCAGGTGTCGTAGTTGAGACCTTCACTTACTTACTATATCACTGCGTTGGACCAAGGTCGACATCGCCACGAACTTGCCATTCGCCACCAGACTCAAGCACTTCACAACAGCATGAAACAAGCGGGTCGCCTCATGCTTTCTTGCAAGCACCACACCCTCCGAAGAATGGTCACGCTCATCTGCCAGGATCACACGATCGATGCGATCAGTGAGGTTGTCCTTCTGAATCCTGAGATGACGTGTTATGCCAATTGAAGTCCCACAAAAGACCGCTGCCGCCTTGCAAGCCCGACCTTACTAGCACATAGCAATCTCCAACTTTCTTGACAAGTCTCTGCTTCCAAACGAAGTCGCACTTCTGGCAGGTGCTCCTTCCAAGAGTTCTACGACATGTCTTCCAGGATTCTCTAGGTCACCGGCCTACACCATCCTACACGTACAGGACCTACATATGTCTTCCAGGCTCGTTTGCACCGGAGGCGCCGCTCCCATCGGCATAGATCTTCTTCACAAAGGCCACCTCGAGGCACGTCGAAGGCTCGCGAAACAGTTCGACCTAACCGGTACCTAACCTGTTTGTGAGCAAGAAGGCCCCTGAAGCCTTTGGACATCCCGTTTCTCAGAAGGAATCTCTCAGGGTCCTTGTCTGGGTCTTGAATCATTTCGCATCTGCACCCCTGCCTTGGTTGCAAAGGCGCGCTCTGCTCCCAGGAAATGCCTGACCAAAACCGCCAACTGCTGGACCCCCTGAAAAGCATGGACGGAGCACCCGGAACGAGCCTGGGGGCAGCGCGGAGCACCCGGAGCGAGGTGAAGGACATCATGTTTGGTCCGTCTGGCTGTGGAACGGCCCTCTTCCGTGGCACGCAGATCCACAAGAGTGAGATATCAATATACAGTGTGTAGAACATAACACCACAACTACCAACACATGTTTTCTCACAACATGTTGAGATAACAAGATGTCCAATCCACCAAAACATCCTTTAAGCAACCTTTGTCCATTTGGCTGAGCATCTAGCGTGGTGAATACCAGCTGCAGCGGCCTTGCAAAGTTCCAACACGAGGAAGAAAGAAACTCCGGGACCACGGACACAACTCTACCAGCAGCCCCGCTCTTTCCACTCCATACGACAAGTGAGTGGTACATAGTAGTCTTGTGACACCTGAGGCGCCATGTGGCTAGATCCAGGTGCCCCGGCTGCCATGCGGTCGCTGTCACCTGCCACCGTCAGAAAAAAGCAACTAACTAGTAGCTTCTTGTTACTACTAGTAAGGCACTTTGCACTTGTTCCTAGTGGCGTCCTTGTTACTAACAAAGGGGCGTGGGCCAAGCTGCTGTGCCTCCCAGGCAGCCCAAGGCTGTTGTTCTCTCCGTTTTTGCATCCAGCTGTCGCTGTCTTGTCAAAGAGTCTTGTCGCTGTCTTTCTCCTCTTTTGAGGAGCTTTCGCACCAAAAAGGACTCCCCAAGCTTTGCATCAGCCTAGCAGCTTGGATTCCTCCGGGTCTTCTAGGCAGTCATGAATGGTTTCAGACCGCCCAGAAGGGCAGGCAAGCTGTGGGAGTCACCTTGGGCAACGGAATGCCAAGTAGGAAAGATGCAAACAAACCGAACACTCGCATTTGGTGTTGAAGTTCTGCACAACCCAAATGCGCGCCTTAGAAGAGGAAGCTAACCAATTGAGAGTGTGCGAATGGTGCGTCTAGCCAAGATACGCATCGAAGGCCTTTTCTCCCTTCGCGCCGTGCTGTGCCACTTTTGCCCACCTTTCGCGCTGGAAGTCCAGGGAATGATCCGGAGCTCAAGCGCACCTTGATCGGCATATGTGGACCCAATAGCAAGGGCCTCCAACCTAATGGCGATGGCCTCCAACCGTTGAAGATATATATAGTATTTTGTGACTTGTGTTTTAACATGTGTTCATCTTTCCAGTGCAACTACCCTGCTACCAAGCGTCTGGTCTTGGAAAAGGAATCAGAATCTATCGGCTCTGGAGGTTGTGGAGGCTCCTTGCAGTGGGTCGAAGAGGACATTTGCATGGAATTCTGGAACTCTACAGCAACTGTGGCCTGTAGTTCTGGAGTTGGCGGCGGCCGCCTAATGCGGGCCTTGCCTGAAAAGAGTGGACAATACAATGCGTCGTTCTACAAGTCTCCCAGCCTATCTCAATGTACTTCTGCATGAGCAGGCCATTCTCCTCCGACATGATCTCGTCCTGGGCTAGTTATGGCTAGTTGCGAGAACAAAACCACACTAAGATTTTGGGGCCAAAGCAGGCAGCACGTTGACCCACATCGTGCCGCCATCGCGCCGCTCCTGCTGGATCCACACAAAAGAAGGAAACCCGTGTGCTTCGTCGGGGTCCTCGAAGCGCACGCATACTCGGCTGGGATCACTGCTACGAGAGGGCCCCAGCACCACCGCCTGAGCTGCGGAAAGTTGTTCCCTCTCTTGGCATGTAGTGAGGTTATCCCGTACCTTGTCCATGAAGGCCGCCAAGATATTATCACCTGCAGCACTGTCAAAGAGAACTTAAAAACTCAAACTTTCCGACGTAGGCCAACTTCCACCACAACAAACGTTCTAGGCCCTCTAGGCAAGGCATTTTCAGAACCAAGCAACCTTCCAAGTACAGGTCACTCCGGGCCATGACCCGCTGTCCCTCGTAAAAACCCCCAGAGATCGGAGGTGGCTGACATACGCTCCTGGCGACGACCGCGGAAATTCGACGCGGCGAGATCGTTCAGAGACTCGCTCGCTCTCGCTCTCGCTCTCGCCTCCTTCGTTGAGACATTCTCGCCGCCAGGCCGCCGTCTCCACGCTGCTCGGCCATCTTCTCAGCACGTTCCTGGTCACAAAATCTGGGTGTCGAACTGTCGTAACCTTTCATTGTTTCGATGGTCAGTCAGAAAAACAACTGGTTTGGGTTGGTTTTGGTACATCCACCGACGCCTTCTCCATTTTGTCAAGCCTCTCCTCGGAAAGGTTAACCAGTGGCCAGTCAATCCAGCAATGTCGACTGTCGTCCCCCACGCCCGATGAAACATGTTTGTAAAGGTAGCTTGGTCAAGAGACTAAGCACTCCATCTTCAAGGAGTCCGGCAGCCAACTTCGCAGCACGATACGTTCCCTCAGGGAACCTGCCAGCTTCGGCCCCCGCCGCTTCGGCTTCTTCTTGCCCTCAAGGAGGACAAGCAGTCACGACTGCGGCAAGCGGCAAACCAAATATCTATGTCTATACCTTGCAATAGTACACATAGCATTGCGCATCAATGCAGCCACCTGATGGCTCCCTATCGTTTATTCAATAATTTATCATGCGTTGCCATTCTTTCGGCCAAAGGTCCGATGGAACTCCAGAGGCACCTTTTGGATCCAGCAGCTGTGTCCGGGTCCGGCCATCGTCCATGATGGGCTGCTGCAAGCGGGGCACTGTGACCCGTGCCTTGGCATTGGCTAGGCTAAGGATGGGTTGGCAAGAGATTAACTAAAAGTGATGATCGGGGTCAACAATGGTGTCTCCCAATTTCCTGGATCGTCAGTGACCAGTGCAAAGGCCAAAGGACTGCGGCTTCGTCACAGCCCACATGACATAGCGGCATAGCACTATGTAGATGATGTCGGATTTGGTCTTGCGCTAATACACAAAGACAACACACATCAAACCATCAAACCAAACACTTTCTGAAGATCTGCCTGAGACACACCGGGGTGGTAAGATGGGGTCACTCGCTCCAAGGCTCGTGCATACAGATATTGTGTCTTTGCCGCACCGCGCATCTCGCCCATGGCTAAAAACGTCTCTCACCTTCTTCGAAGGCCATGAAAAAGACCCTGGACGCGCTGGCTGCCCACATTGAAACTGAGATGGCCACGCACCAGGGCCAGAACAATGTTTAGCAAAAGAGTCTCAACATTCAGTCCAACTCGCAAAGATTGCTTCGAAGTCTGATGTTGACAAAGAGTTGTGCATAACCCTTTGGGCCTGGCCGCTTAGAACCACACCCAGCGTCATTCCCAAGTTGGCACCGACCAGGCACGCCTCAAAGTTGGCTTCGGCCCGTCCAAAAGGAAAAGTTGGTTTCACCCTCAAAGTCGGTGCCAAGGCCTGGACCGCACAGAGAAGGAGGACTCGGCTCGGCTGAGGAATGGCCGAGCTCCAGCCCTGAATGTGGAGGCCATCCCTCTTGGGTTGGAGGCCATCCCTCTTAGGTTGGAGACCATCGCTCTTAGGTTGGAGGCCATCGCAATTAGGTTAGAGGGCAGCGCTATTAGG